TATTTGTAATAATCCAAAAGTTGATCATAGGACTAAAAGTTTACAAAACCGTTTACAAATTAACTGCCAAAACTCGAATACAGGGCTTCCCTACCTAAGGGCTATACAGCACTATTTCAAGGGCTCTCCATCTCTATACAAACAAAGGCCAGGACACGATTTTGTGGCTATGTTATGTACAAAAGACGCATCAAAATAACTGAGCACAAAAAAATATATATAATGCAAGCGACCTCACAACATTGCATAAGGCATACATACTTGGCAAGCTTTTTTTTGGGTCGCCGTGCTTTTTATTTTCGGGCAATCCCTCAGCATCGATCGGTATTCTGTTCGAATAGCAGCAGCATGCTGCTTATCACCTCCTCCTGTGCCAACTAGTTGGCTACCAATTTGGGTTTATGATCATCGACATAGATGGGCTTATCCATATCGCCATGCCGAATTGGCCCCGAATCTATCTCATAGGATGAAAGCAACCTCCTCTGCAAAGGGAAAAAGAGGAAGAGCATAATAAGCAAATATGTTTCTAGAAGGAAATCATATTACACTAATGAGTGCATTAAAATGACATTGATGAGAACTAAAAGAAGTCGATATTAGTCATATTTTACTGTTTATCACAAGAGGTTTAAGATGCAGAATCAGAATTTCATGTAAAATAACGAGATATCGCAATTTATCACAAGAAACGTCGATCAAAATATTTTCAAATGCTGCCTTAGTTTTATGTATGTTCTCTTCCGGTCCAACCATTTTAAAATGAAAATTGACCTCAGAACTCAAGCTAACACAGGGTACAACTTACAGAACAGAACTTTACTAAATGAGAATGAATCTGAAGTTACACATAAATATCAGAAGTTTTTATCCTAACTCAAGTGTCCAAACATATTCCAGTTTGGTAGAAACCCTACTAGAACGTCCACAGCTCGCAGCCTAGATATGACCCCTCGAAACAATACGCATAAAATCAAATGGAAAAGAAAATCTTTAAGGTACCTAAACTTTTGTTACTTCAAATTGTCTATTAAAGCATTTTTTTTCCACCCAGAAAACACAAAAGTGGGGAAAAAAACTACAAAGAATAATTGGTACTTACATGATCCTCAAAATCAGGACTGATCAAATTGATGGATAAGTTTCTCATCAACAGCAGAACCTACATGGAGGGAATGATTATTGTTTAGTTAACAATGTCTATATGATATATTTTTAAACTAAAGCTGTTCTTATAAAAATGAAATAGGAAATGCACACAAAATCTTTATTCAACTAAAGCAACAATGCTATGAAGTAGAAAGGAAAGGTGTAAATCATACAGTTTCAACATCAATTGGGTCCATCCTTTTTAACTTTTGCAGATGACCTGAAGCATTTGGGTCAAAGACACTGCCAATGAAGCTGTAAACTTGTGTGAAATCTGGCAGAACTGCACAACAAAAGGGCATTTAAGTATCAAGAAAAACAATAATACACAGGAAATAGGGAATGAAGATTCACTAAAATCATTAAAACAATTCCATAGGAACTTACACCACTAGCAAAACTAGAAAAAGCTCATAGAAGTCATAGTGATCCAAAACAATAACACAAGAGTTCACAGATATTGTAACTCCAAAATTCCAAGGAAAAGTCGAGTTCTTTATTTTTTTCTTTTTTCTTTATTTTTTTTTTTTATTTTTTTTTTTTTTGGCCTACACATGATATAAATGTCAATTACATGCCCCAATAATAATCACAGAAAGCCTTTGAAAAAATGGACGAAGTTCGGAACTATTTTTTACAAAATTCTCTTCCGTGGGCATTGAGATTGTACACTATTCTGTAAAACAAACCTTGATCAAGATCTTGAATCATTCAAAGAAGTTAAAAAATATAATACAAATGATGCAATATCATAATTACGATCAAGTACTTTAAGCGTGAGAATATAGAAAGGATTACATCTATTTTCCAGATTATGCATCAATAACACCATGCTCCTAAGAGCATGTGTTAAGGATCGACTAATACATTCCAGATTTCTGATTCCTAAAATACATAAACTGAAATTTCATGTATTACTATCCTACTTCCATGAAGAGAAGTAATTAAGAACTTCAAACTAGCTAATGAGCTCCTTGACATAACTACTAAGGATATGCATCCACGATTTTTTATTGAATAAGTTCAAAGCAATCTCAAACTATTTGCAATAAAATAAAATAATTTAAAGTGCATGCAAATAAATGAGAGGATCACCTCTAAAAGAATGAGTGTTACTTCCTTGATCAATTGTTTCAACAAGAGGGCATGCTTTTGAAGGGCTTTCAGTACTACTGCAACAATTATTTGCTGTTGTTGGCACTGCATACACATATAAACCAAACAAAAAAGTTACATGTGTAACTTATTAGCAGTTTTTTAGAAATCAGAGACACGAAGAACTTTAAATGATCCTCATACGCCTGCATCCTAGGCACCCTCGTATTCCTCTACTTCCATTTTTTTCCATGCATGGCAGCCCAGATGACAACATGCTAGGTGTTTAAGGCACGTAATCACATTCATCTTATCCAGTGTGACTAACTTATATGTCAGAAGCCATGAAAAAACTCATGATTTCAGAGCATCTAATATTTAGCCTTTGATACCTTGTGATGAATTGAGTGGCTGGACAGAGTTCACTGGCCAAGAAGGTACAGCTCCACCTGGTGCCGGACGTGCAAGTATTGAAGATGAATCTGGCCTTATGGTGCATCCAGGTTCAAGTAGAGGAGACGTCGACTGAAATGACCCTGGCACTTGAGAAGGCATGGCAACTGACAAATAGTACAAATGACATTTGTGAGCCGCTGTTAGAACAACATAATGTAGTGATATCAAGCACATTGAAGAGAGGTGGGGGCGACTAACCATTTTTTGAAGCCTTCTGAGGATATGGATGAGCAGCCTTCCTTTTCGGTCGTGGAGGAGGCAAATGCTCACCACCTCCAGTTTTCTGAACTTTTAAGAAGTACTTCTGTGCATGACTACGTATCTGTGGGGCGTCATTCTCTTAGTTTGTCATTCATAAATTAAAGTGTATACAGAAAATTGCATAAACCTCCTTTAAATGAGGTTTCTTTTAAGGAATTTGCCCAATTAACGAAAAATTTAATTGAATCGAAGACAAGTCCAGTTTTTCTAATGATAAGAGCTCAACACTCCCAAAGAAAGTAAGTCGAAAATAACAGGGATCTGGCATCAATTACCTGTATAACAGTTTTCGATCCAACAAAAGCTTCAATTTTCTTCCAATCACGATCAAAACTGGATATAGTTACAAAAATAATAAAGAATCATAATCAAGGCATATGTCAAGAAAAGATAAGAACAAGTAGTAACCACAATTAAGTTCTCAACCCACTTGGTTTCTCTTTTTTCAAATTTTAAACGGACAAGCCATAGATCATCAGTAAAGAATTTTGAGTCACAAATTATGTTTTCCTCCATTAGCAACCCAGAAACCCCATTATTTCTCGCTTTTCCACCTTTTCTTGTGCCAAATACCAACTCCACTAACATCCTCTTGCTTATAGAATTTCACCAATGGCTAATACCGAGCAGGATCAATTATCAGTTGGGAGTAGGGACCGTATTATCACCTAGTATAGCCGAGGCAGTTAAACTAATTAAGAAGAGTCATAAATAAAGTGGTGAATTCCTAAACTTCTAATTAAAGAATTTCTGAAACACTTGTGAAAACCAGATGGATCCTGAAAGCCCTTCGCGCCATCAAAACCCTACTCAAACCCCTACCATTTCCATTTCAAAAGAAATACAATCACAGCTACCAAAATTTTTGCATAAACCACCCATAACTAATTTCCACACCTACCACTACATCAATTCAACCACTAAACCCCAAAATTGGCATTCAATTCCCCACATTTTCAACATTTCCTTCGCCACCAAGATCCACCTAAAAAAAATAAAATCCCAAACGAAATTGACCACACAGAACGAAGAGAAACAGGCATCAAATTCGAAAACCCTAAACGAGAAAGAAACCAATAAAATTGAATGCAAGAAGGATGAAAAACGTACAGCTGAAGAGCTTCGAGGAACTTGTCGTGCTCGGGCTCAGTCCAGCTCTCTCTAGACTTGGTAATTGTGTAGGGCTTACGAATCTTCTTGGACAAATCCTCTGACGCGGCCATGGTGGTTGTAAACGGCCCCAGCCCTGGCAACGCCATTCCCGATGGATCCAAGTAGAATCCCTCGGACGGATTCGGGTTATTAGACACCATAGAAGATGAAGCAGAAGCAGAAGCAGTAGAAGGGGAAGAGATTCAGGTTCTTACAAAGCGGAAGAAGAAATAAATAATAATAATAATAATATTTTTTTATTATTTAATTATGAAAAAATAAAAAATAAAAAAAATTTGTATCGATATCAGGATTGAAATAAAATGCGGCTGTTCCAAGGGCGGATTCAGAATTTATAGACAAACTGGAGTTTCTATCCTCTGCGGTTGCTTCAACTTAGGTCCATGAAAACAACGAATCAACGGTCGAAACGTGGCAGTGAAACTGGAAAAACTTTGTAAAATATTGTTTTTTTTCTTTTTCTTTTTTTTTTGTTTGTGGCATTGAGTATAATTAGCTTTAAGAAGTATTATTTATTAGTAAAAAAATCTGTTTTCAGAATTTTATAAAAATAAATAAATATATATATATAAGTCCCATGGCATTAGGTTGGTCCGCGATTCAGCGAACAAAATCTGATCCATGAAAGGGAAAGTCGGATATTGTCCACTTTGCATAAGCTCTCATGGCTTTAATTTGGACTTCCCAAACTTTGAGCATAAGCTCTCATGGCTTTGCTTTGGACTTCCCAAAAGGCCTTATACCAATGGAGTTAGTATTTCTCAGATATGTGACTTTCATCATCCAACAATTTTTACCCATTCACGTGTCGCCTTTTTTTTTTTTTTTTTTTTACCATTAACTTTTAAATTTTCTAAAACATAAAATGTAATTACCTAAATATTCTACAACTTAATAGTTTTGAAAAAATTATTCAATAAACCCTAGTATATTAGTATTTAAAGTGACTAGCTCTTGAATCATAGTACAACGAACATTTTGTTAAAACGAGTAAAGTTGTATATATATTTATACATAATTTTTAAATTTAAAAAAATTAAGAAAAGAATAAAAGAAAATTATAAAATCTTCGAATAAAGGATAATTTATATTTTAAAACGAAAGAAATCTCTAAATACTCATTCCTCAGATTAAATGAATCTCCCTTACAATAAAAGCTAAATATAATTAATTAATATTATATATTAGTCATTCTTATATTTATAATTTAATATTCTAAATAAATAATTAGTTAGATTAGCCCTTCTTTCTTCCTCCATCTTCCTTAATATTTTTACTATTTAAGTTATTTTCTAAAATATAATTATTTAATTGGTTAAAAGATTATCATTTATGCAATTAATTTGCTAAACATTTCAGCAGTGTTACTTTTTGGACTTTAAAATTTAATTAATTAATTAATTTCAACGTAATAATTTAATAAATTCATATGCATTGGAAACTAGAATTTAATATATTTTATTTTGTTAAAATAAAAAAGTTATAAAAAAATGTTTTTTTTTTTTATTCGGTGGAGCCCATGTAGAATTTCTCGTGAGTTCTCCAATCATCCAATCCAAATATCCCAACATTTTTATTTTCTCAAAAGGAAAATAAATTATTTCCATAATCAAACACTCCAAAAAAATAAATAAAGTAAATTGACCTTTTTACCCTTGACCTTCCTTTTGTCATTCTTGACCGTTCTATTTCTCTCTTTTATCTATCCTCTGCCCAAAGGTGTCGCCTGACCGTTGGCTCACTTCCTTATTTGATTTTTATTTTTATTTTTTGGTTATTGGTTGAGAGGTTTATTTTTTATATATATATTCTTTTTATGGTTGATAATCATTTACGTTAAAAACTTTAAATTGATAGTTTTCTTTTAGGAACAAAATGAAATCATTTTGATGATTGAATGTCGTGATTGTGTGAGTTATCTAATAATAATAAGACGATTTCCACCGACCAACTCTGAGTTCTTTTAGTATGTTTGTGTGTTCCTTGAAAATTCTTAGAAGGTTTTGAAACACGTTTAGTAACAACTTTCAATTCTTTTAAATCATTCTTAGTCGGGATCGCTCTCATTCAAATATGGTATCGATTCATTCATGTACCACTCTTTTGTTCGAGTGTTACAGTGATGATGTTTATAAGAAGTTTCTACACGGGAAGATATTTTTTTAGGGAGAAAATTATAAATTAATTCCTTTCCAACAAAAGTTACACATTTATCAATAATATTTGCTAATTTTTGAACCCTAATTCTTAAACTTTAATTTCAAAAGATTATATTAATTTTCAACATTTTAAATTGAAGTAGGTGAAAGAAACTTCATTTTCACACTATTTCTGGAGAAACGTGACCATTTTGTCTTCATAATTATATTTTAAAAAATGGTTAATAAACTAAATAATTAATAAAATAGCTAAAATTAGAAAAATAATTAAGAAAAATCGTCCAAAAACAATTTAAAAAATAATTAATTATTATCTATGATGATTTACTAATCATAAAGTAAGTATTTTTTTTAATTGGTATAAAATAGTGAAGATTTAACTGAGTTATTGTCGATTTTAACCTCTTGAAATTAAATTTGTAATTATTATGACCCTAAATAATTTCGTTTAACAAAAATAGTTATTCAATTAACTAATTAAAATTAATTTCTTCATTGAGAGTATCGGATATACCTTATTAGCACCTACAAATGACCTAGGTGATGTTTAGAATATTTGTTCCGTACTTTAAGTGATTGATAGGAATATCTCTTTAACAAGCATCCATGAGTGGACCAAGTTAAGATTATGACATTACATATAGAACGGTTTACCCATTGACTTAGGTAAGTGCATTTCTTGTAAATCTTGCACCCTAAGAACCTGAGTGTCGATCAAAGGTCTAGACCTATGTACACCTAGAGGATGGATTATCCTCGAGAAGATAAACGGGAGATGAGATTTAAACCAACTACAATACTCTAAGAACCTAGTAGACTTCCATAGCAAAGATGTCTAAGAAAGCTTAATAGCTTAGTATCGATGTGATAGTATTACCAGAATACACCATTAGCATACGCCCTACCTAGAGTATCGTTAATGTTCAGGCCATCAAGACGTCATACTATCATAGTAGATTTTATGAGGTAGCGTTGTAACCCAGGATGTCGAATGTTCACTGCTAAAACTATGCAAACAACCTAAGTAAAAAAAACAGAAAGATTGAAAAACATATACAAACTCTTAGAGATTCAAATCAGAGATAGAGTAGACACCAGGCCAAAACTTCGTGACTATCTGTTAGGTTAAGGATGGAACGTTGGTTGACTCGAGATTTTCTAGACTTCCTCTAATTGCCCCAAGAAATGTTCTTTCTTTCTTTACTTCTCACCCATGTTTTTTTGCATTTATCTAAAAGAAACTTCACTTTCTCTTTCCTTTCATTGAAATAATAATAATAATAATAATTAAATTTACCGAAAAATTGGACTTTTAAGATATGTTTCATGGAAGTTGTGTAAGACACGTTCGATTCATCCGTGTTAACTGTTAGAGGTGTTTAAAAATTTTCGATAACTCGAAAAATCCATTAAGTTGAATTCAAATAAATAAAATTTTTATAGATTTAGTTGGTTTAGTGATTCATTCGATCCAATCAACCTAAGATTATTATTGTTAACTTTGAAATATTTATTTAATTTTTGATTGTTTTTTTTAATTAAAAACAAATTATTGAATAAATAACGTGACAAAAAATTCTCCAGCATTCCCTACGTCCAACAGTTCGTGAGCAATTTTTGGATATCAAATAAACCTCGTAACGTCCAACAATTTTCCTACAACACCTAATGTTCGGTGTGATTTCTGTATTAGGTATGACGGTGCCCAATCATCATTTTGATCAATAAGAACTCCTTTTTGAAACTGTACAAGGTTCTTCCAAAGCATACTGTTTTCCTAAAAAGTACGATAACTCGATCCAGCTCAACCCACGAATAAGTCTACTAATCATCGGGATACAATGTTACAATGCAAGCTAATAAAGTCCTCAAAAACCACAAACTTTTGCACCCGACGTTTGTTTGTTTTTTTTTTATCATCAAAACCTTACCTTTTGTGTTCACAATTTTGGTAAGATCCATTTAGGAAGTTGACTCGATGTTTTCAAGGCTTTCTTGGAACACCTGTGTTAAACAAAAGATGGCCGCCATTGTAGGCTGCAAAAGTGACCAAAAAACACGCATTTCATTAGTTTAAACAGAGCTTTCAGAGAAAGAAAGTGAATGAATTTTCCATGAATTTTCGTTATTTAATTTCCTTGACTCTTCACAGGAGACCTTTCATCATGACTTAGTCGTCATCGTCTTCTTCGTCTTCTTCTCTCTCTATCTTTTCTGTGTTATAAATTGGTTCATTCCGTGTCCTTTCAATTCCAGATTTCATCACTAAATTCTTCTCTCTCTCTCTCTCTCTCTCTCTCTCTCTCTACTTGTTTTAATTTCCGTTCTGAAATTCTCCAGAAATGAAGGTACGGCTTGTCGAATTCTTTGTCTCTCTTCTTTGATGGGTTATGGGTTTTGTTTTTTTGATGCTTATTTTTTGATTTGATTGTTTTGCAGAAAGTGATTCTGAAATTAGATGTTTCTGATGAAAAATCAAAGCAAAAAGCTATGAGCTCTGTTTCTAGTTTAGCAGGTACTTAATAGAATTTCTTTTGATTCCTTATTTCTCTCTCTCTAAGAAAGCAGAGGAAATGAAAATATATCATTGAAGATCTGTCCGAAACAAACCCATCTTTTATTAGAAGAACAGATTGAATCCCATCGAGTTTCTCTCTCTCTCCCTCACTGCTCTGTTTTTCTCCAAACCAATTGAAGTTTCTTTTTCTTCAATTTTACATGAAAAATTGAACGAATCATTATTTTACATGAAGAGAAAAAATAACCCATGTTTCAGAATCTTCCATCTCTCTCTCTCTCTCTCTCTCTCTTTTTGCTCTGTTTTGGAGATATGCTCTGTTTTTCTCCAAACCAATTGAAGTTTCTTTGTTCTTCAATTTTAAATGGAAAATGGAATGAACCCATTATTTTACACGAAGAACAAAAACAACCCATGTTTTAAAATCTTCCATCTCTCTCTATCTCTCTGTTCTGCTCTGTTTTTGGAGAAATGCTCTGTTTTTCATCAAACCAATTGAAGTTTCTTTTTTCTTCAATTTTACACGACAAATTGAACGAACC